AAAAAAAAAAAAAAAAAAGAACGTTTTAGAGCAAGCTGCATAAATATTTACAATTTGCAGTTTCTATGTACAGTCTGTTCTATCATACAACTCACTATGCACAGTTTGGTTGTACAAAAGATAGATTTCTTCTCTCCCCCCACCCCGACCCCCCTTGTACAGTTCAAACAATAACATTGTCCTTTTTTTTTTTTTTTTAAAGTTCTTTTTGTGTGTTGGTACAAATTGCAAAGCTGAGAACACTTCCAACTTTAATAGGTTAACAGGGCTTCCTCTTTTCCGGATTGCACAATTAAAAAAGAAGTTATCGCAAATAGCACAGTAAGATCTATATGTCACTAAAACAGACATAAATTATGCAGACAATGTGCGTGGACAATGGCTTTCCTCTGAAGCAAACACACAGTGCTTGGCGCTCACCTAACGTAGAGCTAACAGTCGGCAGAGACGGTGCCTCTCTGCGTGTGATCGAACGGTACGAAGTTGGGTTTTAACCAAGATCGTCGCAGCACGCAAGCATGCCTGTGGGAACTGTGCCAGGCCACTAATTCAGGCACTCAAAAAGGTGTGTCTATGTATTTCTTATACATGCACACGCAAACGGAATAATATGTATATACAGAACCCAAGAGTGTGTGTTTTTGTGTGTAGGTATGTGCGTGCGGGGGTGTGGACGTACGTCCGCACAACCCCCCACGAACATACAGAGAGAGAAATACAACTTTTGGTAATGCAGAAATAACCTTTTGAAAAGGAAGAGGGTGCATAATAAAATCCCTTCCTGGAATGTACACATCTCAGTTTGCAAACTCTGGCAAGGGGCGTCGACGTGTTGTGTTCCAGTTGTGAGTGTGTGCGGCCAAAGGCAGAGGAGGGTGAAGCTGCGTGAGTTCAGCGCGGTTTAATAACCACCAAGTGACCTCGTTGGCTACGAGGCCGTCCCGTCTAAGCTGAGCCAAGAAATCTGCTCTGGAGAAGATGTTATGGATAGGAAATTTATCGAACTCTGTGTGCATGTGTGTGTGTGTGTGTGGGTGTCTGTCAGTGTAAAGGAAAAGGGTGTGAAGTCTTGTGAAGATGAGGCAGATTGAAGTAAAGGGCTCGTGGCATTTTCTGCCCATCTGTCCCATGCTCTTCTATGAACATCAGGTACGTGTGGAGGTATCTGCAGATAACCTGGTGTATTTGAGAAGTCTGCATCTTCTTCAACAGTTGGACCTATCCGTGCATGGTCAAAAGCAAAGAAATTGTGAGAGTTACACTCGTGGTGAGTTGGAGGCCATCAATGCGCCTGAAGACCCGGAGTATTTCTATTGCGATAAGGGTCCAAAAAGCCATTAGGCACAGGGGCTTCCTGAATCTGGGATCTGGTTGCAAGATCCCTTGCTCTCTGGACATGGTCCTCCGGGGAAGAGCTTTGGGTTGGCCAAAACATAATGGCAGGCCACTTCTATAGCAGTGCTCAGGAAGGAAAGATAACTTCTTGGGCTGACCTCATAGTTGCTCCAATCAACTTGAAAGATCAGGAGATGTATCAACGAAGTAGAAGTCAAGGTTTGCTGATCTATCGTTGTGCTCCTCTAGGGAGACACAGTCTATTATCTGAGAATGGGTTAAAGATCTGGCCTTGACCGATGGAAAGAGAGGGACAATTCTACTGAAGAATAAAGGATAGGAACTGCAGGATGGTTAATTCTGGGTGAAAACCAAGCTAGCTTGCAGCTCTCCTCAAGATATTTTGACCTTTTCTTTGCCACAGCACAGACAACAGGCAACAAGATTTGGTTTGAAGATCACATGGCTGCTAAGTAGTTTTTCTGATACAGAACTAGGATCGGAAAGGCAAACCCCTGATTGGATGCCCAGGCTGAGGGAGCCTCCATTGCCATCACTCTCCCCGACCTTTTCTAGGCACATGTGGCGAATTACACTTTGATCTACAACAGATCGAGCCCCTTCCCAGCTACAACACTCAAAAGCAAGATAGGTAAGGGGAGGTTTTCAAAACAAGGCAGTGTACCAGCAACAGACAGGTATACAAAGATGCGATGGAGTGGGTGTTCCTTCTTTTCTACAATTACAGTTTTGCTTCCTTGCCTATGTCTCGGCTATCCTGGTTGAAAGCTTCGTGTCGGCGAACCAGCTATCGGGGCCAAGAATAAGCAACATGGGCACCCACCAGATACAATGAAGAACATCACCTTCTTTGTAAGGAAACACGTTGACTGTAGCTGACTGGAGTTTGAATCAGTTTAAGGCAGATGCATGACCTATGCTATAGAAAACTGGGTATGTGTGACGTACATGGGGCGTGCTTCATTTCCCCTGTCCCGAGAAAGCATCTAGGATCCTCGAGGAAGAAAGATGGACAGGCTTTTTAAGACGTAGCACAGCGCCACAGCCCTCAACCATCTAAAGCAGCTTCTACCTGCCTGCCATTGTAAGACCTTTGTTCCCTGTAAGACTGAAATCTGGTAGTATTTGCTACCAAAGTACTGAGCAACATCTGGGCTTGTCGCAAGGGGATTTCTGCACCCCCTGGCTCTGAACAAACCTCAGACCATTCCCTTTTAGGAGAGGCTGCACTGCTAGGAAGATCTGCTTGAACTCTGGAGTCCATTCCCTCCAGAACTTGTCTGCCACCAGGCCATCCCCCTACGCCGTGCTAAGGCATCTTCGTTTGCAGGTCCTTCCTTGCCACGACTTCACGGGGAGGGAGGGGAGGCACTCTTTCTAAACTGTAGCACCACTAGACCAAGTCCTTTAGCCTCAGAAATTCAGAAGTCTCAACAGGCGGAAAACATAACGGTTCCTCTGATTCTTTTCCCTTTTCCTTTTTTTGAGCCCTTACCCTCGCAAGTTTTGGAAAATGATGCTGGGGTTTAAAATACTGTAACAAGGAGCTGCATCAGCAGGAGGAAAGGAAGAGGTTTCGTAGAAGGGAGATGGCCGGGAAGGCAAACCTCACCGTAGAAACAAATTTCAACCACGCGACAGGGTGATGTTATCCTTGCTCAGCTACACAAACGTGGCTGTTGTCTGCTCCAGGCGAGACTCGGCTGTCTGGGATCCTTGTCTTCAAGTATAAGTAAGAAGTAAGAAAGTAAGGTATTTTTCTTCAAGTAAGAAAAAGATCTGAGGCTACCTGGCAACCATCGTTCTACGGTCTAATGAAAAGGAAAGAGAAGCGAAGGGGGGAAAGTGGGAATGTTGTGCACCCAACTGTAGCCCTGGTGGTCTGTGAGGGTTTGAAGGGGTGAAAGGGACTGCTCCTCGTGCCCCCCCACAAATGAAGAAGCACACGGCACGGGGGTCAGAAATCTACTTATTTAAACTCCCCTGCAAGGGTCTTGCCCTCTCTCCTTCTTCTCTACAGAGACAAATGTTTGAAAAGTGTCGCCCTCTCCCTTGCTGGAGGGTTACTCTACGTGACAAAGGCCTTGCAATTAAGATGTGTGTGTAGGTGTGTGCGTGTATATATGTATGTGTTTGTCTATATATATATATATTCACATTTCTTTTTTTAATAAAAGAGCTAAGTTAATACATTCTACTGAATTACAGAACCATTTTGCTGGAACATTGTTACCTCTTGACGTTTCCATACAATGGACAAACAGATCAAAAATCTTGCACGCAACATAGAAATCCTCTTTGTACAAGAGTAGAGACCAAAAAAAGCAGCATATAACACTGTTTTAGAGTCCTTCCTTGCCCCCGAAACCGAGAAACAAAAACAACCCCCCGAAACACCTGGCATAATTTCCCAACGTAACAAAAATATACCCTGTGGATGATACCAACGGCAGCGTTTTGAGAAAGCAGCGGACTCCAGCAGCTGTCTCTTGCGCTCCCCGGCTCTCCATCTACAGTCAACCCACGAACGCACAGAGGAATTAATTCCCATGATTATTCCAACTCGGCTTCTCTCCCCCCCACAAATGGCCTTTTCTGTTTTGGTTTTTCTCTTGGTTGTCGATCTCTGCACCCCACGTTCTGGCTACCTGCTTCTCACATGTTCCAAGTTCAGCCGGGCAAACTCCCACCCTTCAATGTCTACAGGGGCACCAAACAAGGAGACCACCCCACTTTGAATGACCAGAAGCCAGATCTAACTTTCAGTGGGTCGCCCTGGTTCATCTTCCCCAGATGAACAACATGCAGCTCCACCGAGGCGGTCTCCCGTAAAGCTACACGAGGCGATACGGAAAGGGCGGTCGAGTGATCTGTGTTTCAAGTACTAGATTAACAGCCCATCTCAAGAAGATGCTTGGGCCAATACGAGAAGCTGAACTCAACCAAGGTTGGCCAAGCCAACACGCTGCCTTCTCCCTCTTTCTCCGCTGGGCTGAAGGACAAAACTGATGCAGAAGATGAAACCCCCTGAGTATTGGTAACTGAGATTTAGCCATCTCAAAGCCTCTCCCTCCTGGCCATCCGCCCTCCCCGCAAAAGTGGGGGAGAAGATGGGGGTGGGTTCCATTTCCTTGTTGTTTTTAAGGCTTTAAACCAATGAGCTTTTTTGTTTGTTTCCTATTCCCTCTTTCCAGATGTAACAAAAAAATTAAACAAAAAACAAAAACAGCTGACGGGAACAGCGCTGCTCTGGCAGCTGGCCTGCGAGAGGCAGGCTCCCAGAATCCCCCAGCCCCGACCCGTTCCATAGCCACCACATCCATCTGTCCATTGGTCTTCCCCGTCACGGCCTTCCCTCTTCTCATTCACTGTCCGAGAGGGTCTCATACTGTGAGACGAGCAGCGGTTTGGGCTCCTCCTCCCAACCGTGGTTCTGGCTGTTGGAGTTGCCCTTTAGAACGGTGGCAGGGGGTGGCGGTGGACCAGTCACTATTCCTGTGGAAAGCCTCACCGTCAAGGGGTTGTACGGAAACGGCGTTGAACCTGCAGTGGAACAGGACAACGAAAAAGCGGAGGGATGAATGGCGTTGGAGTTCCGCTCCAGGAATTCTTCAGAAAGTAGCCTTGGTTGCCAGACCCCCAGCCCATCCCTTCCTTCACACTTCCTCGCACGCACGGTCAAGTTCACGCCGGTAGCTCTCCCTTCTGGGAAGATCTTCCCGTTTGGGAGAACTGGGATTAGCCCTGTCTGCTCCACAGAATTCAATCTATGGAAAGGCTTACATCTCTTTGGGAACGAGCGGGGAAGAAGAGAGCTTCTCATGCATGAAGTCTCTGGTTCGATCTGGGATGTTCTCAGGAGGGAGACATCCCGGATGAAACTCTAGAGTGGTGTTTCTCAGCCTCAGCAACTTTAAGAAGAGTGGACTTCAAATGAAAGTCCGATGCTATCACATGGGGAAAACACCATCCAGATCATGGCACTGTTGTTGGTTTATTTGATTTATAGCCCCCCTCTCCTCCAAGAGCAAAAGGCAGTGTACAAGCACACCCTCCTCCTTTTCCATGTAACAACCACCCTGGGATCTAGGTTGGGCTGAGAGAGAGTGGCTGGCCCAAAGTCACCTAGTGAACTTCCACAGCTGAGGAAGGAGGAAAATCCGGGCCTCCTTGGTACCTTCACCATCACATCACCCTACTTTCCCAAGGTCATTAGCTTTCCTGCCTACACGTACCTAAATTGAAATAGGTTGACACATCACACCTTCCAAAGCTTTCCCACAACAAACCTGCAGCAGAGTTGGCTGGGCCAAGATAGACAACCCAAAGTCACCGGTGACTTCTGTAGCTATAGGGAACTGAACCTGGGTCTCCTCACTCCAGGTCCAATCCTTCAACCGCTCCACCCTGACAGCTCTCTAACATCTGGGCCATGTTCTGCTGGCTGTTCCTGATAATGGATTTCCCAACCAAACTGCTGCCTGGCTGCACATTCAGGACATCTATCCCCACCCCCCACCCCCCAGGAATTGCAAACCCAGCATACAGAGACACGCCAGTACCTGCGGATGATGGCCTGTCCTCCCAAACCCGGTTGGTGAGAGGTGTCCTCCTGTTACAGTCCCCCTCCGAGTGAACGGATGAAACAGATGGTGGCCTCTCAGTGGAGGACAGGCCTGGGGCTGGAGATCTGGCCTTACGACTGTTAGCTCGGGCGGTGGCCTTTGGTTTCCCCCCACCTGCAAAAAGAAGCATTTTTCAAGCCCCTGCTGGTAGTCACACTACGTAAAATGGCACTGGCGGCAGGATGCTGGGTGCCCCACCAACACGTCTTCCAAGGGACTTTATCACAACAGGAGAACAACAAGGCTTAGCAGATAGCAGGAAAAAGAGAGAGGGCTGAGAAACGAAGGTAAACTTCCCCCACTTCACCCCAACAATTAGCCCCAAACTCTGCTACCAGCAAAAGGAGGTTGCTGTAACAGGCTCGGACTGTCATCTTGTAAAACGGAAGGTGTTATCCTGCTCCAGAGAATAACTGCTCCTAAAACAGGATCGGAAGGCCAAGCTTTTATGAAAATGGAGTTGTCTTCCCAAAGCTCTACCCAAAGAAAATCGGCATGTAGGGCACTGCTCTTTGGAAGAGGTGAGGACAAGATGCAGGTCGAAGACACCGCCATCTCTCTGCCCTGCTTCCAACGGGTCAGGTGCCCAGGTGCACAATCGATCCACGTGTCTGTTGACACCCAGGGCACGTCTGACTGACATCAGCCCAGAGACCAGGACCTGGATTTGCACGTACATTGGTGTCACTTCTGACCTAGCCAATAACTTTCATTCAAAGGCCTACCCTTGAAAGGAAGAATGCCAATATGTTCCAGGGCCACCTAAAAGTTCTGTGCACCCTCACCCTAAATGCAGAGTTTTTCCTTGGTCTCAACCACCGTCTTCATGCTTTTATTGGGCACTATCTTTTCCCATGGGGGGGGGGCTTAGCTACCCCGTGTCCCAGGCTGCCTGGAGTGGGAATCCCAGATGGGTCTCCCCAACCTCCCCGTGTCTTTAACCACCGAGTTCTGGACAACGTGGGAAGCGAATGATCGATTAAAAACGAGGATGAAAGACAGGACAGCCGGAGGGTCAGTGGTTTACGGGAAGCCAGAGGAGGTTTTCAGCGTATTTGCTAAGCGCTTATGCACATAAACAAACAAACAAACAAACAAACAAACAAAACCCAGAGATTAATGGGCATAATTAAACACTAACACACAAGGACAGGCCCAAAGCTGAACGGGAAGAGAGGCAGAAAGACAGAGGGGATTAATCACGTCAACGCAACCAAGATGGGAAGAGCTGCCAACCTGGCGTGGGAGACTGAATGTCGTCAATCTGTCCATCAGCAGAGGTTACGGGCAGAGCAGCGGGCAAGCTTGCGTTGGCATTCAGAGGGTTAAAAGCATTGGTACTAAGAGGAGCGGGATCGTCCCACCGATGGTCATATTTACCCATGAGAGCTTTCCTGATAATGGCCTCCAGCCCCATGTTGGAACTGGAATTTTCTTGGACCGCCTGGTTCCTACAACTGATTAACCCTGGGGGTACGGAAGGAAGAAAGGGGTTGGGGGGGCAGAGAAACGGGGAGCCGAGTAAGACATTGGGGAGGTGGGAGGAAGAGGGGAGGCAACAAAGGAACGGGGAGGGGGGAGAAACAAAACTGTCAGCACATCCTTGCGAAACGACACAACACTGTCGCGCCTGTTCTTTCCCCCAAACCCTGCAACGCAGACAACGCCTGGCCTGCTCCCAAGGACGTTGTGGAGATGTCCCAAGGGAAGCCAAAACTATGTATGGGTTTTTGTTTGTTTCTGGAATGCCACACTGGGCACATGAACCTACTACAGAGTTTCTTCCTCAAGGCTAAAGGCGAGGCGGTGGGAAGGATGCTGGCTCCTAATCACCCCTGGCCCAGTTTTATCTTGGCTTAACTTAAGTGGGTTCAGATGTCAAAAACACTCGTATTCCTTTCTCGTGGTGCCTCTCTGACAAAGGGTGGCTTCCGACCGCAATTTATGTTGACTGGAGGGCAGAAAAGGGGGGGAGGGTTCACCCAGATCCCCCGTCCCCAGGAAGCCACTCCATTGCAGCCATGGGTGGGTCATCCTCCTCAGAAATGACTTGTTCTGAGGTCTTTCTGATGTCCTTGTTCCAGACAGAACTAGCTGTATTTCAGTGAAGCACGCCATTACTGAAAGAACGGTGGCATTCATTGTAATACGTCTTCACCTTCTTCTATGGAACAGGTGACAAGCACACACTCTGGGAGGGAAGCCCAACATATCTGCAGCAGCATGATTTTATGGTTCAGAACTTCTTGGATGTGGCCCTGAATATGCTTGTCGGTAAAAAAATGGCACCCTAGCTGCCAGAGGTCATGAGAGGACTCCAATGGGCTTGGTCGGACCTCACAATGTTCCTTGAGGTACACTGAGATCAACATTTATGGACAATGCCATTGGCAAAGTCCTTCATCTCTTGGTTGATACCTTGGTTGACTGTCTTCACTGCAAATATGACTTCAATATAACATGAGGATTTCTTTCAATGAGAGCAATTTATCTCCACTTCTGCTTTCTCAGACACATACTCCAGCTTATCCTATTTCTGTAACTTGACCATGGCTATCTCCCTTACTGGGAAGATTCAAAATGGAGGAACTGGCCTACTCCCAACTTCAACACCTCATGGGACAAACTGCCATCACAAAGTCTGAGTGCCAAGTTCATGTACCCCCAAGGGAGTCGTTCCGTCCACCAGCCATGCAAATTTCCCCTGATCCCTCCCCAGCTCCCTCCAGCCTATTTCCCCATTTTAGGGGGGAGGCAAAGAGGTCCTCAGCTGAGTGGGTGGTCCCTGGTGTGTATGTTTGCATTGGGATAAATGTCGGGGTGGTGTCGTGATGGTGGTTGTATCGCAATTGTGAGTCATCAGAAGCCATGCAGTTAAGGTGCGGCAGTGCAAAAAGATCAAAGAAGGCACTAAGGGGCGGGTATTTGCCCAACGTTCCCAGGGAAAGAGGAATAATAAAATATAATAAAATAAGGCTAAGAAATAGAGGTTGAGCAATAAGGAAGGGGTGATCTTTATAAAAAAAAATGGTAACAATCCAACCTACGACTGGTCTTGCTCCCCGTTCAACCCTTTCTGGACATCTGCCTCCTAGAAAACTTGGCCCTTCCCAAATGTTATAAAGACTTTTCACTCTTCGGTTGTACTGTGTGCGTTGTAGGATGTTCAGCTTTATCAGAGGTCGATAAGTCTCAATAAGTCGTGGTGGCTTGCAAAAGTCATCCCCAACCTCACGTGCCACGTGGACCCAAAAGGGCAACATTCCACGCTGGGAGAACCAAATGCAGGGCCCAGAAGAGTGTAGCTGTTACCTGTTCCTGTCATCGCTGGCATGTAAAAAATCTCTGTTCCGGGTTGTCCCACATCTGGAGGGGAGAAGAAAGAGAAGCACCTTAGAGGAGGCAGCAACATCACAAGAAGTCCTACTACAATTTCAGGACCTCATGTTTGGAAAAAACCCTGGGGCTACCATGGGAGAAAATTCAGATGAACTCTCTTCAAAGCCTACCCCCTCATCCTTGAGCAAAAACGTTGGAACTGGACTTCATAACCTCAAGATTCCCAGGGCAGGGTCAATTTTTCACGCGGAGGGAAGAACTAAAGCAAGGGGTGTTGGATTCAGCCCTTGAAAGCAATGGCAACAATTAAGAACAATCTTTATGTGCATTTTTGTCTCAACGCAATTGTTCTTCTGAAGGAGTCCCAGGCTGGATTAAGAGCAACTGCTGGAACTGGAGTTCAAAAGCTGAACCGGATTCAGGTGGAAAGGGAGGCTTGATCCAGGACATTCTTAGCAACCATAACTAGGGCTTTCCTCCAGTTTGGTTTGCATAAATCTCCATATCCGCAAAATAAACAAACAAACAAATAAATAAATAAAAACCCCAGAGCTTCCTTTCTTTGATGCAGGCGCTGCGCTGAAAGAGGCATTCCCTCTCGATGAGTTCATACAAGAAGGAAGGCCTCTTCTAATCCTGCAGCTCTCTGGCGTATTTGAAAAAAAATATAATAAAATTAAGATACGCTGAAGAATGATCAGGGCCACTCTTTTAGTCGCTCAATTGCAGCCCCATTGGAGCTGCTGCCTTGGCTCATGTCCCCCCCCCCGCCAAAAAAAATTACAGGAAAAAAAAGCCAAGTTAAATTCTCACTGTATTCTGCCTCGTTCCTGTTGCTCGTGCTGAGTTTTTTGATGATCTCTTGCTTCTTCGATTTCACCATGGCGGAATTGCTCTCCGTCAGTTTGCTGAAAAAAGCCGGCGGTTGGATGCTGTTTCCCGGGGATCGGGTGCCGCCTCTGCGCGATTGAAAAGTCGTCAAGTTGCTGGCACAGCTCCTTCTCTCTAGCTCGCTCTGTTTACGAGCTCTTACCACGTGATTAATTTCTAAAAGGACGCCTAGCCAAGCGCGGGTCACTTGGGGCCGGAGGCTAAACACGAGATGCGAGAGAGGCTCGCTTTGGGGTTTGCTAACTTCCTCTTAACCTCTTCAACATCTACTTTCCTGACAAACCAAATGCTGATTTTTCAGGACTTTTCAGATAAGTTAGAAGCCACAACCCTGGGCCATCCAGGGAAGATTTAAAAAGTGGGAGAACACCGAAGTGCAGACACACCGAGCCACGTCCTCCCGTGCTCCCGATAACGTGGCTAGCTACATTGTCCACCCTCCATTCCTTACCTCAGCTCCAGCTGTTCCCCTTCACGATACAGAATGGGGTAGGCGTTGTTCCGGATGCGTTCAGATTCCCCGGTTCCCTCGGGCGGAGAGATCGGCTCTATGCAGTTGTCCGAAGCAGAAATCTTAATTTGCTCGGGCGACCTGTGGACGTTAAGAGGGAGAATGTGAGACTTGGGCGACCACAAGCTCATGAAACCGAAGGAGGATGGGTTGGGGGCCTCATCTCGTGCCGAGCGCGGACGCTTCTCCCTTGTTTGCAGGTGAGATGGGAAAGAGAGGGGACTTTGGAGGAAGATCGGTGAGGCTGGAGTGCAGAAAACGAGAGTTGCAACAGGCTTTTTGCAGGAGAAGGTGGGAGAATAAAAAAACGTAGGCCAGATATGGAAGGTCAGGTGTCTTTCTCAGAGCTTACACCTTTACTTCAAGGGTTTGCTGTCACAAAGACACTTTGACCTTGACTCTCTAATCCCTGAATGTGACCTCCAGGATGATAAGTTTCCTGTTGCCATGGGAAAGTCAACTCTGCTCAATTTCCTCCCCCAACCTTGGCTTGGGCACCTCTTTCTCCTCCGATAGCCCATCCTCCACATTCAGGGACCTCTTTCCTAGCCAGAGGGAGAGAAGATGATCTCACCTTCGGTCTGCTTCACTTTCGGGGGAGATTCTAGAAGTGGGGATGTGCTCCATCGGTTGGTGCTGGAGGTAAGATTCAGTAGGAGCTCGGCGGAGATCCAGCACGGGACCGGCAGTCCCCAAGTAGGAGTACATGGGAGACTGGATATGGGGATTGAGCTGCTGGGGATGATGGCGCGTGTAGTCTTGAGTGATGACTTCCTGCAAGAAGGGGATATCCCTCTGTTTTTCTTTTGGGTCATTTCTCAAAAGAGTTCACTATCACTTTAGGGCACCATTTAAGCATTATATGTTCTGTCTACATTCTGATCCTGCTGCTGTCTGGAGAGACCCTTTCCCCCCTACTCTTTCCATCAGCAAAATTTCACAGAAGTAGCATGTCTGCACTGAGTTGTACTCAAAATCTCTTATTTGGAAAAGGATGGATTTTCTCCCATGCAGCCAGCCTTTATCTCAGCTGCAGGAGAAGAATTCTCTCTCTGCTTGGCACGACGGCAAAATACTCCAAGCACGCACTTGCACTTCAGTAGGGCAAGCTAAGATTAGCACCAGCGGACAAACTGCCTTTTGATGCAATCTGTCTCTCGTTATTACGAATCCCTCATTAACGTCCAAAGAGATACACGACTATCCGAAATGGACAATCTGAGCAAACTGCCAAAGTAGTATTTGACAATACATTTCCACTTCCCGGCACAAACGTTTATTTCCCATTTAGGGGTAGATGTGAAGGAATGGTTGGATGAAGGCCACGCTCGAGGAGAGAAGCGTTTCCTTAGCCCCCAACAGGAGCGTGGGAAGTTCAAGAAGATGAGACTGGCACCACCCTAAGGTGTTGCAGTATAACACCCCATCACATGCTAGGCATTTCTGTTAGTGCAGACTAGTAAAATCAGTCGAACACCAACAAGGAAGCTAGCATGAAAAAGTACCAGCAACAACCTGGGGAAAAGCCTCAAATTTCAGGAGGCAAGCCCCCGCAGCTTGTCACGT